TGTACTTGTCACCGGTCTCCCTGCTTCCTATTTAGTTCTTATTTAATTAATCCTTAATATTACTTCCAAAATGGCAGACTGCTTCATTCTACCACATTCCCTCCAATTCAAAAATTGCTTAAGGCTTCTCTCCTTATAAGATGAGACCTAAATTTCATTATCTGAGAGGGGGATTCCTGTCTCTCCAACACCCTTCATAGCTGCCTCTTCACCCTCTCCTTCTATCCACAAACACTGTGTCAGATCAATAAATGTTAAGTGTGAATGAATGTCAGAATCACCTTGGGAGCTTTTAACGAAGACACATGCCAGGCCCCCACTTCCAGAGCCTATATTTTAAATGAGTTGGGTAAAACCTAGGCACTGGTAATTTTTTTGTTTTTGAGTGGCACAGTCATCTTTAAAAGCCTAAGAAGGAATTCTAATGTGCTACAAGAATGAGACTCATTGTCACCAAATTAAATTGCTGCAATCTACTAATTCTATTTTCCTACCTTGCCTCCCTGTCAGGCGTACCTTTGCTCACCAATTCAATCTTGCAAACATCTACTCTTCCTAAATTACTCAGTTGAAATCAGTCATGGCCCTGAGAGGGGGGAGAGAATTGGAACATCTCTAGCACTCCTTAATCCCCCTCCACCTTTTCTCTCTTGTGAACAACTGGCGTTTTATCTGTCAGTCTTACATAAAGTGCTATGCAGACACAACTTCAAACCAGCCACAAGTGACCAGATTGCTCCCTATCCTAGGGAGCTTCCTGTAGCCGCTGAGTCGGGTGTGCCAACCTCAGTGAAGTATTTTCTATCCTTTTGGTAGATGAAAGTGTCCCTTCCTGCAGGTGTACATGACACGTTGCTTTTGGCGAGTCTTCGGTGACTTTTGTCTCCATGCCATACAGTAGCTTCCCGTTGTGCTGGACACTATAGGAAGCAGCCACAGAAGTGTCTTCTTCGTCATCTTTTTATGTGTGCAGTCTAGCATGGGTAGCACGGAATCTGGCTGTATAATAGATTCTCAGTAAATGTTTATCCACTGAACGTCTTTGATAACCAACCCAGCTGCTGCCAGCTGACTACTGCACGCTCTGCAGATCTCTAAGGGACTTACCTAGGTGAGGAATCGAGTCATAAGGAAATAACTCTGACCTCTTGAATCTTGGCTTACCTACCGAGTTCACCTTAAGGTCATGTGGCATTTCAATGATCAATCTTTCCTTTCAAATCTTTGCAGCTTATATGAAAAAAAATTCCTTCCATGTGTTAGAGTTTATGTGAAATAGTTTCAACCTTTAAAACATTGGTTTCTGCTTCTGGAGCATGGGGTATATGTTTATTCGATTCCTTCTGCAATTTAGGGGTTTGGAATATATAATAAGTTCAGGATGTGCATCTCTCCAGTTTCTTTACATCTAAATAAATCAAATTAATGAAAAGCCATTCTTTACTGAGTTTTTAATAAGGCTTAGTCTTTAAACTGAGATAGGCAGAAAATTACAATTTTTTTTTTTGTTTACTTAAGGGAAAATGTGCTCCTTAATCTTAATTAGCTTGTAGGAGTGTGTTTCTTTATTCTGTAATTTTAACATAAGTGAAAATGTCTGCGTTGGTTGATAATCTTTAAACTTGACCCCTTGCACTCTGATAGAGCTCCATTAGGCGATTGTCCTCCCCTGGAGTTAAAAGTTACTGAAAATAGTTGTAATAGTAATAATAATGGTGATAATAGTAATATACTGATTGCCTACTAGGGACCAGATAAAGACTTAGGTGCATATAATGCATTATTTTATTTAATACTTACCACTAAAGTTCAAAGCAGTAAAATGATTTCTCAGTACTGGAATTTCACAAATGGATTCCCTGAAAACTACCAGATATAGAATTAATTCATTGAAAGACACTGAACCCATGGATGTCTGTTGCTGGGGCGTACCCAGAAGATGACCCTGGAGGGTTCTCACGGTTCCCCCTGTAACCATGAGTCCCCTAATACCAGAAGGGGCCTGAGCATTCTACCATAGATACTTTGAACTTTTGAAATATTTTCTTGTGTTTTTGTACTGATTATTCACAAATCACATGATAAAAAGAATAAAGAGATGTTGTTTAAAACATGATAATAACCATTGTTCTGGAAAACTTGACCTTTGTATCTTTTGTAGTCAATGAAGAATTACCTTTCAATAGAGATAGAAGATTCGTGATTACCAGATCAGAATCATGTTTGTTGAAAGCTCCCCTGAAAAGCAGAACATAAAGTTTCAACAAAATTGGAAGGAAAATTTTATATTTCGAGCTGGTTGCCTAACAATCAATTGCACTGTACAGATAAGTTTTTTATGTAGTGCTCAATTTATTAGCTAGTTAATATAGACTTAGTATTTATTATCTTGATTTCACACAGGTGATTGTCCTGTCATGTTCATGTCAATTTATATTTCAGTGTATTCAAGAAAATCATTATTGACTACCTCTGTAAAAAAAAATAATTTTGTGATTCCACAAAATAGGCACTCTCATTTTGATAATCAAAATTTTGTGGAAATTTCTTTAGCATATGAAATTTCACATACCTATTAACACTAGAAGATGACTGGTGATTTTCTGATGACTGGGAGAAATAAATACTGTGTATGGACTCATGACATCAACTCTATTAAAATTAAGAGTGCATGCATTCTCCCAGTGGAAATCATTTCATCGCACTCCATACACAAGGAGATGAAATTGCCTTTCATTTATCAAAATATGTTCCCCAAAGACAGCTTGGTTTTCATAACTAATATAATAATTATTCCTCTGTTTAAAATTCACACTCTCAAAGAAACTCAACCACACGTTCAAAGGATGATTAATTGTTTGCTAAAAATGTTGGTGAACAGATCTCTCTCTGTCTCTCTCTTTCTCAGCCCCATTTTCCCTCACTTCTTTCCTATTTCTGCCCTTTTTTGGTGTCTAGTTTCTGAAATTCTCATTGCCATTCAAAATATAGTGTTTGTTTATGAATGTGTGAGAGCTCAATGTGGACCTAAACTTGTATCTCATGGCTCCAGTTTGAAAGAAAATTTTAATTTGGTCCATACCAACAACAATAAGAGCAATAACATCAGTAAGGATTAATTGTATTCTGCAAAACAATATCACTATGTCCTTTATCTGTATTATTAAACCACTTCAAATCATTCCATGTCTCTGGTACTCCCTCTTTCCAAAATTAAATACACATGAAAGACACCTGGTTTTGAATTTGGGAATGAAATGCAAACCAGATGTATTCTGCTGACAATGTGGTCCTTGACTCTTATGCTGAAATGGGAAGTTAATTTTTTTAAATGACATCTACAAATACATACTTAAAAGGCAGATTTTGTTGGTCACAAAGTCAGATGTTAAGGATCATGGGGTTTTGGCCTGTCTCAAAAAGTTGTCTTGTGGAGTATTTGGACTCTTGTATTTGAAGAAAAAAAAAATAGTTTCAGTTGAGACATGGGATTTCAAAATGCAAAAACAGTTATATTTTCCCCCAATTTAGGACTAGATTATTGCTTTAGCATAGTAATTCAAAGGCATAAAGTAGCAAATAAATCAAGGGAAAAATTTGATTTTAACATTTCTTCAATTAAGGATATAATTAAAATCCTATAAATTATATAATATCAACTTAATCAATTTTAGTGATTATTGTAAGTCCTGAGTTTGTCATGGTAAACAACCAGATGTTGTCTTACTCTAATGATGCTTATGTTAATATTTGTCTTCATTGATTAAAGTCAAACAAATAATTTAAACAAGTAGAAACAATTAGTTGAAGAGAAAAAAAAACCTAACATATATATAAGCACTCAGCCTGTACCAGGGCTAAGCCAGGTTTTTGCCCTCTTCTTAAAACTTCCCAAAAGCTCTGCAAAATAGTTATAATTATCTCCATCATTTGTTATAATTATCTCTCTATCTATTATTTGTGTTAAATATTCCCGATTCCTTCACCTGCTCCTTGGAGAACAGAACTTTTGAGTACCTTTATCTGAAATAAAGATGGTACCTAGAATGATGCCCCATGTTCCCCATGTAATTTTACAAGAGTAGATTCATTAATCTCATACATAGTGTGTAAAAGTGTCTGTGTGTGTGTGTGTGTGTTACAGGCAGAGAGAGATGGAGAAAGATGCCCAGGAGATGATGCTAAGTGAAACATGTTGTTCAATAGCACCTATAACTTGACCCATTTACAGAACCTTTAGAAAATGTATACGAAATAGCTTCATGTGTGTTTACCTGTGTAAACTAATAGTCACATAGAGAATGTTCAAATGGCAGGCAAGAAACATTGAGAAGTGATTAGGTTTGAAAAGTATATTGGAGTCTGGGAAGGATTGAAAATAATCTTATAATTTTCACTTTATAACCTTTCCCGTTTGATCCTTTTCTAAAATTGTTTCTTTTTTTCAGTGACTATGCACTGTAATTCCACATTCAACATATAATTTAAAACATTCTGTTAGATTTATCTCCTCACTCCATTTATCTTTTTGTGGGGGAGGGAAGGGTTCTGACAGATGTTCAATAGGTTAGCTAGCCTCTTCTACTTCATGTCATCTGAAAATTGGCTAAACATGAAGTCTATAACATCATCGGTCACTGGTAAAAGTTTAAAATGCTGTTTTCGAAACCTCCTCCCAGGGAGGTCTTATCAACTCGTAACCCTGGAACAAAGGAAAATGACCAAATCCTAAAGAATCCATATTTTTTTATTTCCTTCCCCCTCCTTCCCTCCCTTCCTCCTTTCTTTTCTCTCTCTCTCTCTCTCTGTCTCTCTCTTTCTTGTGTACATGCTAAACATTCTGTTTATCACTTTCCTTTTTTAGATAAGTTTTAATGCCATATGTGGGACATAGTCAAGTGTTTTATTACCAATAAATTGACAAGGTGAACTTGGAAGCCCAAGCTTTTGGTTTTGCCTTGTAACACTGTAAAAATAATTGCGTAAATAATGTGTATTTCAAATCTATGGAACACTTCACAAATATGAATGCCATCCTTGGGCAGGGGCCGTGCTAATCCCCTCTGTATGGTTCCACTTTTAGTATATGGGCTGCTGAAGGGAGCACCATTTTTTAGGCAAATTTTAAATCTAAAAATATTCTCATATTCATTCCATGTGTATTAGAAAATTCACCCTCGTCTTTCCTTGGAATTGCTGAATTTTAAAGTGCATAACTTGGTCATTTCTCAAATCTTTTAAGTATCTCCTTTTATTACGTAAAGTTACAAAAGCATTCTTGACCTACTTTTGCCTTTGACATTCATGAACTTCAAGCTGCAAATCCAGGAGACAGGAGAGCGTCTTGTATTAAGAATTGTTTCCATAGATTTTACAAGGGTACATGTTACATCTACTAAGTGTAGAATGTAAATGTCTTAACACAATAGCTAAGGAAATGCATATGGTGAAGGCTATGTTAACTGGTTTGATGAAAGTATTTCCAATTGTATATAAAACCAGCACATTGTACCCCTTAATTGCATTAATGTACACTGTTATGATTTAATAAAAAAGAAAGAAAGAAAAGAGGAAACAAATAGAAAATGGTTCAGAAAAAGTTCAAAAAAGAATCATTTCCACACATGACACACAAAGTCTTAAGTTTGGGTCTTTCTGTCCATGTCACACTTCTTTGATTGAGAGTTCAAATTTAAGGCAGAATTTAAACTGACTTTTTTTCCAAATCTGAAGAGTGGCTTAGTAGGAAGTCCAACTTTATTATAGTGATTACGTTTCATTTTCCCTACAGTTTTGCTTTTTCTAAGTCTACTTCTGTGCGGTATCAAGAGCTCAGAAGGTTAAAAGTGCTTCATCAGCACTTCAGTGCCTCTTCAGTCCTGTGACATCTTTTCCAAAACTCTTCCAGCTTTATGGGTTACTACTGAAGGGCCCTGGATGACCAGACAGGGAATTTATTCCCCCTAAGCTTTTCTATTAAATTCCTGGAGCAAAAACTGGATAATTTTTTGCAGTCATTGTTGGTTCCTATCTGTTCCTAGGTAGATACAGCATGTTGGATTAAAGCTGCACATCTCTGTGTGACTGTAACCTGTTGCCTTTGGGAATACCTCTTCTTCTCCACGTCCTGTGAAGATTAATCATTGTTCTCTTCCCTACTGGCTCACTAGTCTAGAAATATCAAATACTTTAGAAAGTCTAACGGGTATTATACTCTAGAGCCCCTTGTTGACTTTTACTAAATAGTGAGCATATCATTTAATCACCTGTCCCTTGAAAGTACAAAGAGTTTTTTTTTTTTTTTTTAGAAGCATTATTTTGTTTTACGGCTTTTAACATATACACATTTTTTTCCAACACGGTAACTCTTTATGATTAATTTGTCATGGGGGGTAAACTAATCTGAAATACAGAGTAGAAATAGAAATGGAAGAGGGCTCTAAATAAAATTAATGTTGTTAATTAATGTATTATTTTTCTTGTTGTTGATAGGATCCAGTTTCAAATAATTAGGTTTTAGAAACAAATCACAGAATCATAGGATTTCCACCTAGTATCTTTCATAACAACCTGAAGGGAATTGGAAAACATTCTCCTAAGTGAAGTGTGGCAAGAATGGAAACCAAACACCACACATACTCGATACTACATTGGAAGTAGCTGATCAATATCTATATGCTTATAGGGAGGCAAACGCAATGAAATTTGGGTAAGGGGGAAAGGGAGAAGGGGAGTGTAAATTCCCACCTAATGGATGCTTGGCACAGAGACATGTTCACTCTCTGGTGAAGGGCACATCTATAACTTTGGCCTAAAATTTATAAAAGCAAACTATGCAACCAAAACTTATGTACTCCTGTAATATATTGAAATAAACTTTAAAAAATTTATAGGATTTCAGAATCAAGTTAATCTCAGGTAATGTTTATAAACAAAATTAGCTCAGTCATCTTGACCCATCTAAGTGCTGAAACTAAATACATGTACATTCCACAAATTAAAACTAAACAGTATTTGCTAGAAAGGTTCAAGGTTTCTAAGCTAAACTAATCAGTGAAGTAATTAATATTGCTAATCTGATTGTATAGCTGATTATGTATGAATAAAATCCACATTTTTTTCTTCAAAATGTACAAGTTTATGAAACAACATGCCTATGCCCAGAATTTATTTAACATTGCTTAAATACTTTACATAATTTTTCTTTAATGAATGACTCTTAATTATAGGAATTAATATTGTTAGCTCTCTTTTGCAGAGGAGAAGCCGAGGCTTAAAAAGATTAACTATAGGAAGTCCAAGGTCATCAAATTAATAAGAAAAGAATTTGCAGTTAAAATGGAGGCCTAGATCTATGCTGGAGCCCAAGATCAGAGTTATTATACCAAATAGCTTCTTGATATTTCTACCTTTCACATGGTAAATTTGTACAGTTTCTACTGGTCAAGTTTGCTATTCCATTCTCTCATATCTGATATAGGAAGTTTGGCAGTTTGTTGTTTACTTCTTTGTTTGTTTAAAGGCAGGTAGCTGCATAGTAACAACCTAGTAGATACCGTAAGAGGGTTACAGGTCAACAGTTAACTGAGGAGAATTTGAGAGATGCTTGTGCAAGGTCTGGTTCTAATTAGTAGTTCACTCTGAGGAATACCAAACACAGACAGGCACTCAAGATTAAATAAAAAAGAAAAAGCCATTTTATCCAATGGAAACCTTTTAAAAATTGTCCTGAATAAATTGTTGCATACCTAACAATTTTCTCCTGGTGTTTATTACAGGATATTGCCAAAGTTTGCCTGTTTGGTGCGCGGCCAGAAGTTTTGCAATTTCCCTCTGATCTGAAAACATTCTTGTCAGATTTTCTTGTGAGTCATCAACTTTTCCAGACATCACACAGTTTAGTCAATTAAAAATAAAGTTAATTGGTATTTCTGTCCTTTGCCAAATTAAATCATTCCATATGGAGGAGTTTGTAGATTGCTGAAGATGCCTTTTGGGGAGGGAAGGGCTTAGAGGTAAAGGCCAAGAAACTGTTGTACTCCTTTGTTGGCGGGGGGGGGGGGGGAAGTCATTCTATTTCTAAAAATAAAAAAAAATTTGTTTTAAAATATTCTAGATGCCAACTCTTAGAAAATAACTTCTTGCGTTTTCTAGAGTTTTACTTCAGTGTACCCATAGAGTAATGTAAGTAAAATTGGTAGTCACAGAGAAATCATCCTGACAGGCTGTTCACTTTCTTAAATATCTGGTTAAATATATGTATATATATATTTTTTCATTATTTAACATTCTTTGTTTAACTCTTAAGGCACACATTTGGATGCTGAACTATTCGGTGATGAATTTATGTAAATTTTAGTTAAAAATATTCACAAGTTCAAGTGACTGCTTGACCTTCCTTCCGAGCTCCTCTCCTGTGGTTGTCTGCATTTTTTTTAGGCGGATTAAGAACCAGATATGGTTATAGACTCTCTATGTTCTTTCTTTTAATCAAAGCATTATGCTGTACTGCTAATCATCATTTTAACATCCTTAATAATGAAAGCCACTGTTTATTTTATGTATCATGAACATGGTGCTGGAATGTGTAATAGGTTTGTACATTTTTTTCCACTTACTATTGGAATAGCTTTACAAGAGAGAAATTATTCCTAGGAGGAAACCGAGTTCTAGACAGGTTATATAATTTGCATAAGATCACACATCATGAGAAAATGCCTTGTTCAAAGCCTCCTGAAGTTCTTTATCCTGAATAATATTTCTGAGTATAAAAAGGCACAGTAATGATCCAAAGATTGTATTTATGGGTAGGGAGAATTCCCTGGAAGTTTTGACAATATACAGGTACAGTCAGATGATCGATCTGAATGAAAAGAAGTATAGAAAATGAAACTTTAATTTTTTTAAATTCTGTCACATTTACGTTATGTTTTCTAATTGGCAAAATTATATACATTGCGGCATATAACATGATGTGTTGATACACACATGCGTTGTGGAATGGCTAAATCAAGCTGATTAACACATGAGTTACTCCATATACCCATCTTTTTGGTGGTGAGAATACCTAAAATTTACTTATTGCAGTTTTTAAGTGTACAACGCACTGCTCTTAACTACAGTTGCCCTCCTTAAAACAGATCTCTTATTCCTCGTGAAACTTTTTAAACAAATAACCGTGCCTGTCCTGGTGGCCAGTGAGATATGGCCCCAGTTGCAACAGGAAATTTGCCTCTGTTATGTGAAAAGAAGGTGACAATCCCTGCGGGAATGATGGGGAGCAGATCCTGACGGAAGAAGCATCCATCTCCTACCAGAGTTCTGTTCCAGTGGATTATTTTGATTCTGATTTAGAAATTTTTAGCACTGAAAAAAAGAAAATTTCATTATTCCCTCCTGCACCAACAGTAGGTCTTGACTATCGTAGGGAAACTTTTAGACCCTGAAAGTTTTGCTTCATGACTTCATCTTTGAGGATTGCTCTTATTCATCACTTTCCTAACACTTTCTTTTGTATAGATACCCTCTCAAGAATTTAAACCTTTGCCTGGTAGACGTTTCTGGAATAACATTTGGGAGAATGTCTGGCCTATGCTCTGGGCTAGAGGAGTTATCAGGGATCAGAGAGGAAGAGTATCACACATGCCCCTGAAGCTTTCACCACAGAACAGAAACATTCAGATAAGTTTTAAAAAATGAAATCAGATCCCATTACTGTCTGCTCAAACCTTCCACTGCTTCTCATAGCACCTGCCCCCAAACCTGACTCTTTCATTGCCCTGTAAAGATGGACACCACATGGCGCTGCCCCTTCTGCCGCGTTCTTGACCATGCCCAGCACTTGACTCCCTCCGTGCTGACTCCTGCGTCGTAGCACACCAGCTTTGAGTCTGTTTCCAGAGCATTTGTCTTGCTGCCTCCTCCTCTAGAATTGGCTGTCCCCAGAGGTTTTGCCTGTTGCGTTTCTCTGCGTAATTCCAGTCCTATTAAGGGCCTCTTCTCAGGAAGATCTGACAGCGCTGTCTAAAATAGCCTCCTCATCCTTTGCTCTTTTGTTCTCAAGTATTAAAAATACTCTGTTTTCTTACCAGCATCTTCAGTTATCTG